GTGGCCTGGCAGTATACAGTGCCTGCCCACTCTCGCCTGTCATGGCCACTACTGGGCTACCCATCTGCAGACCCGCTGGACACAGCACCCTCCCTCGGCAAGGTCACCACGTCCTAGACCTGCAGGCCCGTGTCCTGGAGGGGCGAGCACTGAGCCCAGCCTGCCCGTGAAGTGCTCGGTTCCCCCAGGGTGCCAGTGCACTCCAGGAGGCCAGTGGGCAGAACACCCTTGCATGGGACCCGGGGCTCATCCATCAGCTCTTGGTGGAACCCCGGCCCTGATACTCCAGTTTCCCTACTGAGCTCCTCCAGCTGCTGACCTGCTGGAGTTCTGGGTCGTGGTCCAGCACACTGGCAGTGGGCACAGGTAGCTGCAGCCTGACTCTCATCTCCTGGCATTCAGCCCCATGCCCATGGCCCATCTTGTTCCCGGCCCGGGGGGGCAGGGCCTCAGTTCCAGGGGTCTGAGCTCAGGCCAGCCGAGGCGGGTGCAGCTGGGTCCTCTGGGCATCGCCTGTGGTGAGGAAGGCCGGGGTGGGTTAGGGGCTAGGGGAGGACCTGCATCAAGCAGCCCCTATTCAGGCACCAGGGGAGGCCCAGGGAGGAGGCCCAGGGAGGAGGCCCAGGGGAGGCCCAGGGAGGAGGCCCAGGGGAGGAGGCCCAGGGGAGGCCCAGGGGAGGAGGCCCAGGGGAGGCCCAGGGAGGAGGCCCAGGGGAGGAGGCCCAGGGGAGGCCCAGGGGAGGAGGCCCAGGGGAGGAGGCCCAGGGAGGAGGCCCAGGGGAGGAGGCCAAGGGGAGGAGGCCCAGGGGAGGCCCAGGGGAGGAGGCCCAGGGGAGGCCCAAGGAGGAGGCCCAGGGGAGGAGGCCCAGGGGAGGCCCAGGGGAGGAGGCGGGCTGGCGGCCAGAGGCTGGGTCCCTGCAGTCTGCTCCCACGCCTGAGCCCTGGAGACACGTGCCCCTGCGGGTCTGCAGGTGTCCTCCACTCTGGCCTCTTAAGCAGGGGCTGGGGCACGGTCCAGGGGTGCTGGGGGTGCTGCTGGCCCTGCTCCTGAGAGAGGGTACCCAGGCTGGCTTTGGGGAGAAGCTCATGGGTGGTGATGGGGCTGTGGGCTCCAGGGAGCTTGAACTTGCTCATGATTCCCTACAGCAGGCCCTCTGCCTGCCTCCCCACAGGCAGAGGACCAGGGCTGCTGCCCCAGGACCACCTTCCACCCTGGTGGGACCACCCCTGGCCTCGGGGTTAGGGAGCAGGCAGAGAGGCATACAGGCAGATGAGCAGAGCAAAGGGGACCTCGCTAGTCCCCACAGCCTTCATCCAGAGACTCGAGGCTCTTGGGAACCCACCTCTTGGCCTTGAGTGGAGGTCTGGGATTTCCTGAGAGCTAGGGAAAGAGGAGTGGGGTCTGTGCGGGAGTAGGTGGGCTTAGGAGCCAGCTGGGGCTGGACTTCCAGCTAGTTGCTGGCCTTGCAAGGGGTGAGGGCAGCCCTGAGGTGGGCATGCCCTGAGGTGGGTGTGCCCAAGGGAGCAATCTCCTCCCAGTGGGCATAGTCTCAGGGTCTGTGAACGTGGTTGGAGACGTGGTTTTGGGGCAACAGGCACGATCTCTGGGGTCAGTGGGGCTGATCTGGGGTGGTGAGTATGATTTCACGGACTGATGGATTCAGTCAGGGGGCCTCAGTGGGTGTGATCTGGGGCAGGTAGGGGAGGTATGAGCAGGTGGGAGGTCTGGCAGGCGTGGTCTCGTCGCTGGTGGGCATGGTCTGGGGCAGGTGTGTGCGGTCTGGGCAGGTGGGCATGGTCTCAGGTATGGTGGGCATGGTTTAGGCAGGTAGGCGAAGTCTGGAGAAGGTGGGGGTGGTGGGAGTGGTGGTTGTGGTCTCCTGACTGGTGGGCGTGGTCTGGGCAGGTGGCGCGGTCTCCGCCGGTGGGCGTGGTCTCAGTGCCTCTTTCTCCCCAAGGGCTGCCAAGGGACCCCCCAGCTCCGTGCCTAGTGTGCTGCGGCTCGCTGCCGCCCGCCCGGCCCTGCAAGCGCTGCCGCTCCTTCTGCGTCGCCATCCTGCAGGGCACCTGCTTCGTGCCCCTGGGCAGCGGGCCGGATGGCGGCCCGTGGACCCCGTGACCCGAGGACCAGGACGGCCCGAGGACCAGGATGGGAATGGGCGCGCCCAGCCCCGCAGCGTCCGGAGCGTGGCTCGTTTCTTTGAAACCTACGCGTGGAGAGGGGCCTTGTATACAGAGCTACTGTAGCTAAACCGTGCCACCTGCACCATGCTATTTCTTGTGGAGCCCCGCCCCTCCCGGGGCCTGCACCCCTGACCGCATCCAGTGCCCACACCCCGTAGACCCGCTCCCCTCACCCCACCATCCGAATCCCTCACCCGGTCTCCCCCCCAGCCAGAGGAGGACGCCCGCCGTGGGCAGACAAACACAAACACCGACGCCTCCTGGCGCCCCCTTCTCCCCAGCGTGCGCTGCCCCTGAGCCGTCCCTGCTGGAAGGCGCCCTGCTCACCCCCAGCGGGGGTCCCAGGCAAGGCATCATTACTCACTCGTTTCCCCGGCGGAAGTCTCGCTGTGCTGGTCCAGGTTCTGTGCAGCCAGGTGTCTCCTTCCAGCTTGGCAGGGGGTGGGGAATGCCCACCCTGGTCGGACACCCCAGACTCCACCGCAGCTGGACTTCTGGGCCCTCTGGCCATCAGTGGGCCACAAGAGCTATGGAGACCAGGGTGGGGGGAACCCCTGTGTCCTTTTGGGCTCAGGCTGGGGTGGCCCAGCCACCACAAGCCTGCATGGAGCAGGGGGGCCTGTGAGGGGTCACTAGGGCCAGTTTTTTGTGGACACTGGGAGGGTCTGTAGCCCCAGCTCTCAGGGATAAGACAGGAACCCCCCCGGGGACATCCCCATTACACTTGTCCCTCCTGTGAAGTCGTGTGGTTGGGTCTGCCATCCACTTCTGATCATCTGCGGCCCCTGGGCGCTGGAATGTCAGGTTCAGGGCGCCAGGTATGTCACCTGGTCGGTGGGCCTGTCCTAGGGTGACCACAGAGAGGGGCCAGGGCATGGTGGACCCACGGGGGTGTCTCCGGGCTGTGTGGGCCTCCTTTCTCCAAGGAAAGACTGTGCCCATGGGCTCATTCGGTACCGCACTTCCCACTTGTCACCTCAGTTATAAGAGAGGAAGTCACGGTGCTTGCTCCAGGCCTCAAGGCTGCCAGAGCGAGGCCACGTGCCCCCTACCTGGCCAGGAGGGCAGCTCCTGGGCCCGTGCGACATGAGCCCCTTTGGCAGCACATTTTCTTTGAATCACCCCATCTGCCTGATCCAGAGGCCAAGGATGGTCTGAACCTGAGGGCAGACCGGGGAGAGCAGGAAGACCAGTGCTGACCTTCCTGGGCCACCCCTCAGACACGCCAGCCTGCTGCCACTATGCTGCCCAGCGTGGAGGGGTGTCAGGCTCTCCCCTGGGCAGTGGCCACAGGTGAGCACTGCCGGGGCAGGCTCCATCCCCGTTTGCTTTTCCTCCCTGGCAGCGTAGGACCGGGTGTCTAGAGCCCCGCAGTGACCGCAGAAGTCCAGCCCACATGTGCTCTAGACCAGATGAGGGCAGACCTGAGGGCTGGCTGGGAGGGAGGGAGGCTGGGCAGTGGGCTCTGGAGCCTGGGCCGGGGTGGCAGGAGGGTTGGGTCCATGGTCGTGGGCGATGTCTGGGGTGGGTTCTATCCTCTGGGGCTGAAGTGCCCTCGGCACTTCCTGAGGCAGCTCCTCCCTCGGGCCCGAGTCCGCATCACGGAGCACTTGGGCTCCCATAAGGGCCCAAAAGGTGGCCAGGCAGCCAGTGGGGCTGTATCTGCACCAAGGGCCATTCCAGGGACCTGCCTGCCCAGGAGGCCTCACTTGGGGACAGTGCCACCCTGAGTCTGCCGCCCTCCACACTTGGGTGCCCTGTTGGGGTTCCAGGCAGATCCCCAGCGCTCCTCAGGCTCCCTAGCCATACACCCCTCTCTGTGCTCCGCACTCATGGAACAGTGTCCTCCTGGGCCAGAGGCGTTCACACCTGCCTGGCAGGTGCAGGAAGAGTGCTGGTCAGGGACTCTGGGCCTGCCCGGGGAGGGAGGGCCCCAGGGGCCCCAGAGCCGCACCTTGGTTCTCTCCTTCCCACTGCCCTTCCCCTGGCCGGGGCTGGAGACAGGCGGGAAGCATGAGCCTCAGCCTGGAAACTTCTCCTCCACATAGGACGATTCAAGTGAGAAAAAAGGATCACGGAGTGACTTCCCGAGCAGGAGCCAGGCCCGAGTTACAGGCCACAGGGCTCCACGCTCTGGGGTGAGGGACAGCCATGAGAGGCCTCTGCAAACGAGGGAGCCTCTTGCATCTGGAGGGGGGATGGGGGCACCCGGTTCTTGAGGTGGAGTCCCAGATCCCATTCCAGGAGAGAGCTCTCCTGTGGGGCTCAGGGCTCCCAGGTGCAGGCACCCAGGATGATGCCTGCTCCTCTGCTAGCCCACTAAGCTCGAGGACCAGGGCCATTGGCCACCATCCCTCCTCCACCATTGAGGTGGGTGCCTGAGAGACAGGGGTACACCCGGGAGCCCTGGGGTATGCAGGGCAGCCAGCACTGCTGATCTATCAGGCCTGCAGCCAGCACTGCTGTAGCAGCTAGCCCCAGGAGATACCCGTTATCTGGGACCCCAAAGGCTCAGAGTTCCAAGATGCCTCCTTCGGCAGCCTAGAAACTCCAAGGGCATCTGGCCAGAGTCCAGCCTCCCAACTGGAGGGGGAGCCAGGGCGCGGGGGGGTGGGGGGGTGAGGGGGCGGGGCGGGGGGGGGGTAGTTGTGGCGCTGTGGTTGCAGCCAGCCCACTTGGGCTGTGTTCCACCGAGAGGGGGCGTGTCCGCCCTAGGAGCAAACTCAAGACTCTCTTGTCTTTGGGGCTGGAGCTGTAGGCTGAGAAAGCAGAGAGCAGCAGCTACGAGGCATCCTGCAAGCTCACCCAACACACACGGGCAGTCACTGTCAGGCCGGCCCGATGCTGACTGGGCAAGCAATGGCCTTCCTTTCCCTGACCTGGATTATTTACCGGGGCCTGGCCATTCCTCGGATTGCAGAATGTGGCCTCTCGTGTTCTCAGGTGAGTCTCTACCCCCTCCTAGGCTCTCATCTTGAGGGGCCTCGGTTCCTCTGCAGGTGGGCACCAGCCTGGCACCCTTGGCACACGATAAAAGCAACAGGTGAGGGGGTGCAGAGGCCCGGGGGCAGTGGGTGACAGGAGGACCTGGTAGCCTGGGGATCCCTGCCAGGCCCAGCCGGCCCCTGCAGCACTGCTCTGGGAATGTTTGCTGAGAGCCTGAGGGTCTCAGAGTGACCCGTCCCTGAGCAGCCATGTGAGGGGGCAGCCTGAGAGCCCCCGCCACCCACGTTCCCTGAGCCGTGTTGCATCATCGGGGCGCTGGGCTCCAGGCGGCAACTGGGTTTGTGTGGACACTGCCAAGGAAGTGCTGCGGGGAGCATGCTCATCCGGGCGGGAAGCAGCCGCGGGAACTTCTCCGGAGGGCAGGCTGACTCAGCCTAACCCCAGGGAGGCGCCAGCATCACCGACATAGTGTGCCGCGTCCACGAGGTGCGCCCAGTGCCGAGACTGGCCTAGGCTAGGGGGACACAGTCCAGAAGGGGTGTGGGGACAGTGGGGGCACAGCAGGGACACGGGCACAGAGGGAACATGGCAGGTGTCGCAGGGATGGGGTCTTGGTGAGCACCTGCTGTGTGCCGTCCCAGGTGTGGGGACCGTGGGGAGAGAGATGCAGCCCTGACCTCAGGGACTCGTGTTCTAGCGGGAGAAAAGGCACAACGCAAGGTTTAGGTGGTGACAACTGCTGTGGAGAAGGCGAGAGAGCAGTGGGCAGCCAGGGCGAGAGCTGGTGTGTGCCTTTCAAGGGCAATGGCCGGGACCCCCATGGGACACTTGGGGACAGCTCCATGAGGCCTGGGAGTATGTCCAGCAGAGGGTCCAGGGAGCTCAGTGAGGGACAGAGGGGGCTCAGGGTGGCCAGAGTGCCTGGGGGCTCAGGTCAGAGTTGCAGGACCCACGGCGGGCGAGGAGATGCTCCCCCTCGCTGCTGGTGGGAACAGGTGGGTGCAGAGGAAACAGCGGGTCCAGGCAGGAGGGGCTGGCGGCCTGGACCTGCCCCACAGGAGAGATGGGGTACAGGAGGGGCTACTTTGGGGTGTGGTTTGGAGGTGGCGCTGTCAGGACTGGGGACAGTTGAGGGAAGGAGATATCAAAGATGGATCTTTGAGCAGACTTTAGTGTCTGGGCTGACGGAGGGCGCGTTTCCTGAGATGGGGGCCGGGGCGGGGCACGTTTTCAGGGAGGAAACTTGTGTTTGACATACGCGATTTGAGAAACCCATCAGACATGGAGACTGATGTTGGGGGCAGCTGGCATCCGAGTGGAGGCCAGGGTGGCCTGATCTGCAGTGAGTGGAGCCGTCACACGACAGGATGAAATGGGACCAGAGGGTCAGGCTGAGGACTGAGCCCCCAGGGCCCAGCTGTGAGGAAGAGAAAGGATCTTCCAAGAAGGGGAGGCAGGGGAAGGGGAGAGGAGGCTGGAGGAGGGACCAGCGCAAGAGGCGGGAGGGCAGGCGTTCACTGCCCGGGGCTGCTGCCCCCAGCAGGTGGCTGAGGCCCAGGCACCATTTTGGACTTCACAGAGCTCTAGCCACTTCGGTGCCCTGCTGGGCAGTGGGGTTAGGGGAGCGGAGGGACATTGGAGGTGGAGGTGTCCAGCTCGGGAGGAGAGGTATGAACTCGAGAGGACAGAGCAGGAAGCCCACCCATGGTGGGAACAGCCACCATGGGAGCTCAGGCAGGACCGGGGACACCAGGGGACACACGAGCCCACTGGAGGTCAGTCCTGGGCCTTGGCCACTCTTTAGTGAAAAACCATCCTTGCTGACCAGACAGTGGGGGCTGGGGGGACGGCAACAGATGGCCATAGCACCCCAGTGCTGAATGAGGCGATCAGGGGCGTCCCTGGAGTTGGCCGGTGGAGGTAACCTGGCCCTGGAGGAAGCCCTGGGGACTCCACCCCCCGGGCCTCACCCTGGGACCCCCGCTGGCCCTTAGCCCCCTCCCACCACTAGGAAGCAGAGCCTGGGATGCTGGGTCCTTTCCTCGCTGGAGCTCAGGCCCGGGGGGCAGATGTGGAGTGGAAGGCGGGGACCCAGACCCCACCCCAAAGATGCACCTCAGGGTCCCGCCCCACAGACACCCCCACGCCCCCGGGAAGCCCCGAGAAGCCCGCTGGAAACCCCCAGGGGAGGGGCACTTCTCCATCCCTGCCCTGCCCCGCCGGGCCCCAGGGCGCTGGCCGGCCAGCCTCCCCTCCATGCTCCAGACAGCAGGGTCCCTGGGCGGCGTTGCCCTCAGCTGTTCTGTGACCTCGACCTTTGCCCCTGCCACACCATCTCCTGCATCCCTGAGGGGAGAGGGGATCTGGGCCCTGAAGGGTATACCTCCAGACCACATCCAACCGCATTTCCCAGACACCCACGGGCACAGCTCCAGCCTGTATGGGCATCGGGCACAGAGAGAGAAGGTGGTCCCCAGTGGCCAGGACACAGGCATGCCCTTCAACCTCTGGAGCTTCCGAGAGCCCCCACCAGGGCCTTTTTCCTTCCTTGAGGTCTGGGGTGGGGGGTAGCGCTCGGGCAGGTAGGACTGAGGTTGCCAAGGGGGCGTCTGAGCACCTGGGGCTGTAGGAGGGAGTGAGGGGGGCCACTGCCCCCTCTTTGGCCAGGCCCTGCTGCTGCTTAGCCTTGCTGGGTCACCTCAGTGCTCTGCTGTCTCCTGTGCGCTGGATGGGGCCGCCCACTCCTGCCCACCTCCCATCCGCTGCTCAGCCATGTTCTGGAGGGGTACCCAAGTGGGCTCAGCCCCTTTGTCCGGGCAGAGCCCTCTTGCTGCCCCTGGATCAGGCCCCCGGGGCAGGCGGTTGAGGCTGTGCACCTCACCGGGGGGCCGTGGGCAGGCTGGGAGGGTCCAGACACTGGTCCAGTCCCCTCAGCCGGTTTTGTGGTGGCCGGAGATTGAGGACGGGGACATGTCAGCAGTCTCTAGGAAGATATCGTGTGGTCGGAAGACAGGGACGTGACAATAGGCTGAGAATTAAGAGTGGAGAGGCTGAATGCAATGAGGAACAGAAAATGGACATTAGGGAAAGACGGGTGAGCTCCCGACACAGTCTGGAGTTCAGCTAACGGGAAGGCACGGTGCTGGTCTCCTGGCTTTTACAAATGCACTGTATTATGTAAGATATTGGCATTGGGAGATGCTGTCTTTGCATCATTTCTGTGAATCTAAGATTACTCCTAACTAAAGTTTATTTAGAAAGGGGGTGGAGTGGGAGATGGAACCACCAGTCGTGGCTGCTCCACAAATTCAAGGAATGCACCTGACTTCTAGTCGCCCTCTCCCCACCTGTGCTACCAGCAGGAGGCCCAGGGTCTCCATCTGGGGGCCCCCAGTCACAGCTTCTTGGGACCCTAGAGGATCAAGTCTGCCCTGGGAGGGAGAGCCTTGGCCTGCTGTTGCTCTTTGCTGCCACGTGGTGCCGCTGTTGAGCACGGGCCGCTGCAGCCCTGTGTCCCAGGACAGTGACCGCCGGCTGGTCTGGATTCCGGCAGCTGGTTCTGTCTCTGGGCTTCCAGAGCCGCAGTCTTTGGCCTCCTTCTCCCAAGCGCAGCTGTGGAGCCCCACGTCCCACCCACTAAAGCGGGGTCCACAGGCATGGCCTCGAGCCCCTTCCCCTACAGGCCCCTGTCTGAGCCCAGAGCACCCGTCCTGGGCCGAGTCCCCTTCTTTGGGGGCTCCCTCCGTCGGGCAGGGTGTAGGGGTTGGGGGTGAGAATCAGCTCCGAGTTGGGCCTGGAAAGGCAGCTTGCACAGATCCCCGTTGGCTCACACCCCACGTTAAGTCACCCTCTCAGTGGGGTCTCCCCTGACCACCCCCGAGCAGGTTTACAGCCCCCTCTGTCACTCTCCCACGCCACTTCCCAGCATCCAACATAAAACATAGCTCACCGATGTCTTAGGGTCGCAGTGTCTCCCATCTCAGAATGCAGCTTCCTCGGAGGCAGGGACCTCTTTTTTCTCTTTTATTCGTGAACTCAGCACCCAGCCGGTGCCAGCATGCGGGAGGCCTCAGCCAAGGTTCCCCTGACGAAGAACAGGTCGAGGCGGGCCTGTGGGGGCTTCGAATGCCAGCAGCAGAAGTGGGGCATGTAGTTGGGGGGGAGGGGGTCTGAATGTCCACAGGGTCCAGGTCACACCGTTTACTGAGTGGCCACTGCATGTGGGGCATCAGGCCGGGTGTTCTCAGGGTGAGCACCCCTGGACACACAGGAGGAGCCAGGAGATGCAGCACCCCCAGGTCCCAGAGGCAGTAAAAGGCAGGACGGGGGCCACGTGACAGGTCTGGGTGCAGGCGGTGGGACAAGAGGTGACCAAGCTGACCTCTCACCCTCTCCTTCTGTCCGCAGGGCTTCACCTGCAGGAGCCACATGAACTGTGAGTACATCCCAGGCAGAGGGGACATGCTGCCCTCCCAGTCCTCAGGCCATCAGGCCACCAGGGTCACCTTGGCCTCCCCAGGGGCCAGGTCTGTTCTGTAGCTGGGGTCTCCCTCCGCAGTAGGGACAGCCGACACTGCCCTGGCCTCCCCCACCCCCTCACAGAGCAGAGCCCCCGACGTCCCTGTCCAGGGCCTGGTGCATGTGGGCAAGGCCCCAGCTCGGGCCGGAAGTTGTGCTCTTCTGTTTGTTGGATGACCCCACCTTGCTTTCTGAAGTGGCCACACCTGTTTACATTCTTGCCAGCAATATGTGGAAACCCCCATTTCCTCTTATCAAACTTTTTCATTTTTGCCCAATGTAAGATGACGCCTCGTTTTAAAAATAGCTTTATTGTCTTTGTAAACACTTCTATGTTTATTAAAAGGAATAAGTGATACGAAATATATAAGAAGGAATGTTAAAATAAATCTCGCTCCAAAGCCCCCATATAGAAGTAAATATTATTTACGTTAGGAAAACATTGTTCTAGACATTTTTGTAGGCAAATATACAATTAGTAGGATAAACAGATAAAAATATAAAAATGAAATCACCTTATGCTATTTAAAATATGCATTTTATTTTATTTGACTTGAATTTAATAGTAAAAGTAAACTGAAGAAATGGCTCAACTTTGTTTCTTCACCTTGAGATAGCATTCCTCAAGGACCCTTCCGAGGTTAAGACAGGAGATCACGAAACACTCAGAGAAGTGGGAGGACGACTGGCTGCCGGGCCGGGCAGTGGTTGCTGGCATTTAATGGCGTCAGGTCGCCCCGCAGGTCATTCTGCTCCCCGGCGTTCCCTCCTGGAGGGTGGAAGCCATTGCTTTGACGCATGTGCCACGTCCTGTCTGCGCCCTTCCAGGGTCACACAGGCTTCCCGCACAGACCCTTGTCCCCATCACTCGCGGTCGCCTGGCAGTACCTGCAGAGAAGGCTGGTGCCAACCTGGGCTTCGGCCTAAGGACTCTTCCTGTCCTTGAACACCACCACTTACCCAAGCTCATCTCGGTCCCCGTCCCGCTGCTCTGAGCCGCTTCTCCAGGATCCCGGCTCCTTTTCGGCCCTCGAATGGGGTTCTTTCATAACATCAGAGAAAGTTTTAGTTACTCCTCTGAATGCTCCTGTGAGCTCTCTGCCTCAGGCGCCCCCTTCTCTTTATATTGGATGATCTCCATCTCCCGACCTGGTTCCATTCATTTTGTCTTTCTCAACTGCTTTTTCCGTGATTATCTCAACCATTCTAAGCCAGCAATTTAGTTTTCAGTCGGGGCCAGCCCTCTGCACATTTCTCCTGTGCGTGTCAGCCCTGAGATGGGGCTGCCTGGTCCTCGACTTGCTCCTCGGGTCCGCGCGCCTCCTATTCTGATTGTGCGGCTGTCTGGGCATCTGTCTTTGAGCCCTTGTTTTACGGGATCTGCTTCTCTGTTAAGATGCTCTGCTGTGGAAGTGCCTGAGGAGCGTCGTCTCCCTCGGTATACTGTCTTCTGTCACCTGTTCTTTGTCTTTTGAATTCTATGTTCCTTTCTCCCTCCAGCTGCCTTTCTTCCCTTCGCTCATATTTTAACTTCTTCCCCATTATCGTGGTGACGTTCTTTCTGTCTTGGCCACACACAGCCCGAAGTGACTTGTGCTCCCTCACCCCCATCTGACTGTGTGATGTCAGACTTCCAGCCGCTGTGGTTGGTCCTCTGACCCGCTGTCCTTGTCTCTCATCATCCATCTCCATGAGGTAGGGGTTTCTGGTGGAGCGCATGCCCTCTTTGTTCCTTTCCTTCCTAAATTGTCCCAGGAGGTGTATCACCTCCCTGAGTCCTCAGATGCAAACAGAGCAAGGAGACCGTGAAGGAGAAGTGGCGCACAGTGCTTTCAACAACGCGGGTGCAGGCTCCAAAACCGCGAGGATGAGCTGGAGCAGCAGGGCGTGTGGCAGGAAGCAGAGGGACGTCTGACAGACGGAGCGCAGTAGAACCCAGACAGACAACCGTAATCACACGGAGGCACGCAGCCAACTGAGAAAAGCAGAGGAAGCCAGGATGGCTGTCCCCACTCGGCTCCGTGGCAGGGGGCTGCGCCGGCAGGGAGCATCCTGTGAGGAGCCCTGTGAGGCGGCTGCACATGGAGAGGCTGGGGGTGGCATCAGGTTGAGCAGAGTGAGGACAACAGAGGCAGGAAAAGAGGAGGCACAGACGAGGGGGAAGCAGGACCTGAGGAAGCAATCCGCCCGTTTTAACATCACCCAAAACAGCAGGAGGGGAGGGAGGTTTGCGTGGTCAGGAAGGCGGTCAGAACCAAGACAGCTGCAGAAAGCTCAGGGAAACTGAGCTCTCGTAAATATAAGCCACAGAATAGCATCAAGGACAAGCTCCAGACAGGTGATGGTGATAGAGCAAGACTGAGGAACGCCCTGGAACCTGCTGTGCCCCCACTTCAGGGTGGTTTAGAATGCTCAGAAAATGATCTGAGACGTGAAAGTGACATGAACAGAAACTAGAAATATTCAGAAATGAGGTGGCAACACTCAGAACTAGGAATAAAGGAAAAGGCCATTTTATTTATTTATTTTTTTTTTGAGGAAGATCAGCCCTGACCTAACATCTGCTGCCAATCCTCCTCTTTTTGCTGAGGAAGACTGGCCCTGAGCTAACATCCGTGCCCATCTTCCTCTATTTATACGTGGGATGCCCGCCACAGCATGGCGTGCCAAGCGGTGCCATGTCCGCACCTGGGATCCGAACCAGCGAACCCCGGGCTGCCGAGAAGCAGAACGTGAGCACTTCACCGCTGCACCACCGGGCCAGCCCAAAAAGCCGTTTTAGGAGTGAAGGCTGCATTAGAAGAACACAAGAGTAAGTGGACCCAACACTGAACACCTTCAGAGAAGTAGAAGTTGAAAGGAGGACATTTTTTTTTAATTGAAAAAAAGAGATTGAAATGATGTGTGAATAACTGGTAAATGTTGCCATAGGCAAAGAATGTCGAAACCACAGATGACAGGGACCCTGGAGATGAAAACAGAAGCAACAGCACAAACCCCAAGAACTACAGCTCAAGAAAACTTTTAAATTTGTTTCTTGAAACTAGTTATCGAAAGGGCAAACTACGTACCTGGGAATACCCAACCTATTCTAGTAAGATGACTGGATTTTAAAGAGAAAGAGAAAAATCTTTTGGGTATTCTGCAAAGAGAGTACAGCTGACCCTGGAGGCAAAGGACATGACGTCAGACTTTCCATCAGCAGCATTCAGACGGGCAGAAGGTGTGGGCAGCCACAGCGCACAGTTCAGTGTAGACAGCAACACGGCACTGTCATCACCACACTTCTGAGGGACCCCGTTCTTCCCACCCCAAAAACGAAATGGGAATTCTTCGATACAGGTGCTAACCATCGCCACAGTGGCAGTCATATGACAGCATACAAATGTGTCAGATCCACAACATCATACGTCAAATATCCTCCAACAAAAGCAAAGCTGACGTCCAGGTGTGTCGTTGGCACAGGCCCCTCTGGAGAACTCTACAGGAAACAAGCTTCAGGCAGCCCGAAGGACTGGCGAGGCCCCCATGGAAATGGGAGAGAATCAAGTACATGGCTTCGGGCAAAACTGAGACCACACGTTAAAAGGGAGATAGTGTGGTGTGTCCCAGCTCAACGGTCTGACCCTGTAGATAGGGAACGGCCATAAAAAATGCAGAGAGAATGAGAAAAGTGGATGCCAAGACAGACTGTTCGATTGGTCCTGGTTGGTAGTCCTGTGACTCTGAGACCCTGTATTATGTGGAACGCAGCAGAGGACCTGTTTTCATTCTATCATCCCCGTGTTCTTGAGAATCAGGACTCTCCGCATGCAAAAAAAGAGAAGCAGGTTCATACAGAAAAGGTGAAGTAAAACCTTTACTCTGAATTGGTAACATAAATATCACCTCATGAGTCACACTTGTTTTATATAAATATATTGCAGCTTTGCCCACACAAATATCCTCGAACCAACGACTACCTCACAGCCATGAGCCCCCTTGGCCAGGGTCTTGAAATACCATTTCCCACCGGAGGAAACCAGGCAGGGCTTCTGACCACAGTGACTGATTCCCGGTTTGGGGCAGAAAATGTGCAAGAGCCTGAACATCTTGTCTTACCAGCCGGCGAGAGGGCGCTCAAGGCTGTGGTGACATGTCAATAGGCTTGGGAACCAACCCGAAGAAGCTGCCACTAGCCAAGAGGACATCATTGGAGCTTTAAAAAAATAAGAATTGCAGTGAATTGCAACCCATGCATTCATAATGATATTGTTAAAAAAAAAGAGTCATTGGTCTTTGGTGGATGAGAAGAAACCAGTCATCATCTTGAAAACTGGGAAAGTGAAAGAAAAGAGTCAAGCCTCGATCCTGGCTCTCTTCTATGAAAGCTACCTTGGAGTAAGTAATTATTCCAGCTAATAAATGGAAATGAAACAATGGAATTATGATACCGCCATTTTGCATCTCCCACTGAATTGGGAGCCTCGGTACCAGCTGACATCAAACACGGCCAAGATCCAGACACGACACACCTCCTCATAAAGCCATTCAACAGCAGCTCAAGTCCCGTCAGAAGACTCGACCCTGAAGGTGGTCAGGCCTCCGGGCCCCACTGCTGATTTGCCAGAAATGCAGGGCCCAGAGATCGCACCAGGAGGAAAACAAATGCCAGTGGAGGACGCCTGACCCCTCAGGAGCCTGGTCTTCATCTGAACAACTGCAAGGAGCACCGGTTGACTAAGAGAGACCAAACAGATAGCCAGGTTTAAAAAATGAGCAAGATTCAACAATATGTCTGGAGAGGCATGTTTGGGTGATGAAACCGTAAAGAAATGCAAAACAGTCGTGACTAGAAAAGTCAGGACAGTGGTTGCTTCTGGAGTGAGGGAAGGAGCTGCAATGGAGCTGGGGGGCCACCTGGGTGTGGAGCAACGC